GCCCCCGCCCCGGCCCGGCCCGGCCGGATGGACCCCCCTGCGGCCAAGCGCAGCCGGGGCTGCCCGGCTGGACCGGAGAAGCGCGATGCCGGGGCCGGGGCGGAACGCGGCCGGGGCCGGCCCGAGGCGCTCCTGGACCTCAGCGCCAAGCGAGTAGCCGAGAGCTGGGCCTTCGAGCAGGTGACCGGGGGGAGGGGACGTAGAGGGGGGGACGCACCCCATCCCCTTCCGGGACCTGCCTTTTCCTCTCCCTCCCAGCGCCCGACTACCCCCATCGGAGACGTCCCCCGAGATGCCACCCCTCCAAGACCCTCATTCCGGCCCCGAAACGCCCCCTCGTCTTCCCCTTTCTGTCCTCCCAACCCCCTAACCCGCCCCAGCCCTTCTCCCTCGTCCCGGCCCCATCGCGTCCCAGATCCCTGCGCTCCAGCCCCCCTGGACCTCCCGCAGTCCTGGGAATCCGTGCGTCCCACCTCGTCCCGTCCCGCCATAAGGGCGTCCCATGGCATTCTTGCTTTTCTATAAGCGGCGCCCCTCCCGATCTTAGCTCCTAGACACGCACACACGTCCCTCCGATCGTGCCCTCCAGATCCCTGTCCTCGAGCTCCAGTAGGGGACGCCCCCATCTTTCCAGGTCCCAGCTCAAGACACCCCTTCCTGGCCCCCTCATCCCTGCCCTGCAGCCTCCAGAACCCACCATCCTTGGCGGACTCCCCCCTCTTCTTCCTCTAAAGCCCTCTCACCTGGGGCTGCCCAGCCCCTCCTGGGGGGCCCTGGACCCTGCCCCTGCCACTCACCCTCTCCCCACCACCCACAATGTCTTGTCCTGAGGTCGGCAGCAGGGCGGGGACCCTGGATGGTGGCATCCCGACAGGTGTGCCCGGATTATTTCACCCTCATGGCTGCCCTGGGGCTGCGGCCCTAGAGGTTTCCCCCTACCAAGCCTTCACAACACCCCCACCCCCGGACTTTGTCCTCTGTCCAGCTTCGGGGGACAGCGTTGATTCCTTGGCCTCGCCGGAGTTCGGAAGCTGGGTCGGGTGGGTTTAGGCCAAGTGAGGCTGGGCCAGCCTCTGATTCATAGACCGGAAAATCCCTCCTTAGTCATCTGCCAACTTGTTCCTGAGGCCCGGGCCAGTCACCGGCTCGTTCTCACACTTCCCCTAGAAACCCAGGTAGGAGTTGAGACCAAGCAGAACCCTTTCCCCTTCACTGGGACAGAGACCTTAAAACCATTTCCAAAGCTCTTGCCCTGGCCAGACTAGGTGCTGGGAAAGCTCTGGACCCACAGCAGAAGCTCATGGGTAACCCTCCACAACCCTTTGGGAGCTGTTCTCCTTCTCGCTTTGAGGAAACTAGGGCACAGAGAGGTTGAGAAACTTACCGAAGGTCACCCAGCCAGGGAGGAACAAGAGCGCCTTGGAACGCAGGCTCACCCAACTTCTTTCACTGCCTGGAGCTCACAGGGTTGCAAGGCAGGCTATTTCACTCCTCCTCTGCCGGGCTCCTTCCCTGGGGAGGGGGACCCCAGGGGAAACCGAGGAACAGGACCCGCCTTGGGAATGGGAGCTGGCGAGCTGTGGGACCCCACCTCTGAGCCTCAGGTCCTGTCCCCCAGCGCCCTGTGGGTATGGTGACGATTGAGCACCAATACACTTGGTTATGGAGTGACACACACCTTGAGTATTTCTCCCTGCCCCTACGTCTTCCTCCTGCCCTACCAAGACCAGGGAGGCCGAAGGCTTTTACACCAGGGCCTGATCTCTTAACGGGAAGCCACGAGGGCAGTTTCATGACCCGGTGCCTACGGCAGATGGATCCCACAGGGCAAATCACACAGTTGGAGTCCCGGACCCTGCAGCTTGAGAAACATACCGGGTGCATGTGTGAGCTTGCAGAAAATCCCCAAAGGAGAGAGAGATGGAAGAGAAGGGATTGCAGTGTTCATGCCCCCCTGGGGGCTGTTCCTCCTCTCTCTGTTGAGCATAGGGGCCCTCTAGTTAGGGAAAAAAAAAAAAAAGCGGCAAGAAGGAATCCATAGAATGTTCAGCTCTCTCTTCGTCCTTTGAGGATTTTGGGCACACACACACACACACACACACACATATAGATTATATGTTTCTCAAGCCACTAGGTCTGGGACTTGAACCACATAACTTGCCATGTAGGATCCATTCGCCTCAACCAGAAAGCCATGGGCTGGCCCCATTTGTGTTTATTTATTTATTTGTTTTGAAGAATTCTTTGTTCTGGGACCAGCAGTTGGTGTAATGGCTATGTTGCTGGACTCCCATGTAGTCGACCACGATTCAAGTCCTGGACCTGGTGGCTGAAACTCACGCCGGGCGCGTGTGCGTGCGTGCTCAAGATCCCGAGAGGAGAATGGAGGAGAAGGGATTGCGGCATGGCCGTCCCCCCAGGGGATGATTTCTCGCTTTCTGTCTATCTGTCTCTGTCTTTCTGGCGAGTGCACATGCCCTATAGCAAAAATCTAAAAAAAAAAAAAAAAAGAATGATTTGTTTTAATTTGATATATTATTATTTTAAAATTTGCTTTAGGGCATGTATGCTCAGCAGAGAGGCTCAAAGAAAGAGAAAGAAAGTGAAAAAGCAAGACGCCAGGTCCAGGACTCAAACCAGGGTTGTCCATGTTGGAATCCAGCACCTTAACTACCACGCCACCTGCCGGCTCCATTAAATCCACACACTTCTTAGGAGGTGAGTGCTGTTCTCATCCCACTTTATAGTAGAGAAGGCTGAGTCTCAGACACATACAGACTTGCCTGAGGTCAGAGTGCTTGTCACTGCAAAGCCAAAATTCAAAATTCAGACCTGCATTTCCCCTTTTTTTTTTTTTTTTTTTTTGAAAAAGAGTTTTTTGCCATAGGGCATGTGTGCTCATGAGAGAGACAGAGAGATAGAAAGCAAGAACTCACCCCCCAGGGGAGATGGCCACACTGCAGTCCCTTCTCCTCCATTCTCCTCTC